CACACGGGCCCCCTCAGGCCACGCTGGCTGTCCAGGGTGCAGCCACCCCAAACGGGAAAGGCTCCCAGGGCCCCGCATGCCACCCAGAGCCAACTCCGTCTCCAACGAAGGGCCCTGCCGGCGGCCTTCCCACCGGCACCCCCCAGACCCTCCTGCCGGCCCCACGGCAAACCCGCAGTCTGCCAACAGCTGCCACCTGGGCACTGGTCTAGCCAGGGCAGAAACGGCCCTGCACACGCACACGCGGCAGCCCCTCTAAGCAGAGGCGACAGGCCCTCCTCCTCCCCAGCCCCTCCTCCGCTCCCCAAGACTGACACTCCGCTGGAGGGGCGCCCAGAGAAAATCAGGCGGGAGCCTCTATTCACAGATTCAGAAAAAGAAGTTTGATGCAATAGCTGAATTAATTAGGCCTCCAAGAATAGCTGAGCCAGGGCAGCATTCTGTGTGCGATTTAATAAGCCTGGAAATGTAAAAGGAGAGTTGCAGATTCGTGGGGAGGGGGCAGATGCCAAGAGGAGTCGGTGAGGGCCTGGGTGATTGTGTTCAGTGTCCAGCGGTCCCGGGAGGGGCCAGACCACAAACGTCCCGGACAGACACACAGCGGCGCCGGCCTGGCCCTCCCCGCCCTGCCCTGCCCGCGGTGCCCTCCAGCGTTGGAGACACAGGGAGAGGGACATGGGCGCCTCCAAAACAAACTGCCAGCCACAGGCCACTGGAGCTCTCGGCCTGGGGTGCCCGCCGCTGAGGCCTGGCGCCCGTGCTCGTGGCCCGCACCCTCACACGCACCCTCACACGGGGACTCTGGGTCCACTCCCTGGAAGGCCCAGGGAGACACAGAGCTGGAGTCCCCAAGTCTCGGCCCCCTGCCAGGGCGCCAGGACACGGGCCGTCTGCTAGCGTCTCCCAGGACTTCCAGGCACAGAAAGGCTCTGCCCGGCCAAGTCCCGCCGGCTGGGGCCTGCGGGCCTGGGAGCTCTGAGGTTGGCAGTGCCCTTTGCCCCCACCTGGTCTGGACGCTCCCTGAGGCACCCAGAGGAAGGCAGGTCTTGGCCCAAGGCTCCAGCCTGGGCCCAGCCCAGGTCTAACTTCCCAGGACTCTGGGCAGGGGCGTCCTGAGGACTGAGGCCTGCCCTCCCCGGCCTTTCTGGGCGACTGCCGGGGCCGGAGGGCTTCTCCACCCACCGGGCCCGGCCCTCCAGGCCAGGCAGGCTGGCTAGTCCCAGGGGTCAGGCAGGAGGGGGCCTGCCTGCCCGGCTACAGGACCATCCGGGGGACCCTAAAAGCGAACCCGATTCTCCTTCAAACAAAGCAAAACCCTGAGCCGTGGGGGAGAGGCAGCGCACAGGTCTCAGCCTGCAGAGACAGGGCCCCAGGGGACACTCACCAGGGGCACCCGCCGCTTGTACTTGTTGCCGTAGTCGAACTTCTCCTTCACGTCGTCCAGGCAGCGGCCCAGGCGGGCCTGCTCCTCCTTGCCCGTGTAGTCCTGGCTCAGCAAGATGTAGGCCCGCCAGTTGGCGGAGTCGAAGCCCCAGTGGCAGGTCCGGTTCTCCAGGGCCTTGTGCGAGTGCACCACGAACTTGTGCGGCGGGTACATGAGGCGGCAGTCGAGGCACTGGATGCAGGCGGCGCTCGGGCTGCTGTAGAGCTCGGGCACCAGCAGCCCCTTGCTC